TGCATAGCAGGTTCAAGGCTAGCATGGGCTATTTAAGAGCCTATCTCAAAAAACAAAACAGACAATGAAAACCTAAGGAAAAAAAGGAAGGAAGGAAGAAGCGGAGGGACCAGTATAACTGCTTGTCTTCCCTTCTCTTTCTTTTCTTCCTTCTTTCTCTAATCTGTTATGGTGAGCTGACAGACGGAACTCAGTCCCGTGTATACACACTCCAGCATAGGGCTACAGCACCAGACCAAGGTCTGTCTAAAAAGAAAACTTTTTAGACATGCTTATTAGATCTTCATCATATATAGCAAACAATGATTGGTCAATAATATGTTAACCAATTATATATTATAAATATATATCAATAACAATAACATTCAGTCCATGCTCGAATTTCCTGCTTCTCTCACAATTCCTTTGTCTTGTTGGCTTCTCCAAACCGAGATCCAAGCAGCGTCAATGCACTTCAGATGCTGGAAATGACTCTTGCTTTGTCTCTGTCGTCTCTAGTCCCCCTTGCTTTTATTTTTCTGGCCATTTATTTGCTGAAGAAATGAGGCTCTTTGTATCACAGAACTGTAAACACTGGCTGTGCCCCTTTCTTCTCTGTAGTTGTGTTCAGATAATAGCTTGTGTGTAGGTTTATCACCATGAACACTTTTCTTCCCAGATAGTACCCATGTCTGGCATCTGACCACACCAAGGAGAGTGGCCGGGCCCTGAACTTTTGGGAGGCAACAGCTTTGAAAAAAAGAAAGATCAACTCTTCTGCAGTCTGGTCTATTGATGTGGCCTGTCCTTCTGTTTATGTGTTGCTTTTATTGGTTAAGGCATAAAGCTGCTTTGGCCAATGGCTTAGCAGAGTAAAGCCAGGCAGGAAATCTGAACAGAGATAGATAGATAGATAGATAGATAGATAGATAGATAGATAGTAAGTAGGTGGAGTCAAGGAGACACCATGTAGCTGCCGAAGGATAAGGATGCCAGAGTATTATCAGAAAGTCACAGTCTCATGGTGATACATGCATTAATAGAAATGGGTTAACTTATATGTAAGAGCTAGCTGGGAATACGCCTGAGCCATTAGCCAAACAGTGTTGTAATTAATATAGTTCTGTTTGATTATTCGGGTCTGGTGTCCAGGAGACAAAAGTGCAATCTCCATTTATAGTCTAGTCCAGTCTGTTCTCTTCAAACAAGCCTGTCAGGACACTGTCTGCCACCCTAGCCTCACAGGAACCATAAACTAGACTGTGTTAACCCCTTCATGTTTGTAAGCAACTAGACTCTGTTAACCCCTTCATGTTCGTAAACAAGTGGCGCTAATTCTGTTAATGCACACCTTTCCTCCAGATCCGAGTCTGCTCCGTACAGAGGAGGACGATGGCCCTGTCACCAAGGTGTTGAAAGGCACCTGCCATGCAGCCTGAGCTCGACAATCGTCCCTCCCTTTCCCTGTTTCTGTTTAAGATGGGAATTATAAACAACAACAACAACAAGAAGACCCTCTCAAATCCACAGCTTGTTTAGATGCAAACACAAACATGACGTTTCCTAGCTTCGTAAACCATGGTGAAGGTTTTCTAACACGCTCCGCAGAGCATGCAGGGAAAGGGAAGGTATGAGGGGCGGAAAATACATTGATCTTTCCCACCTTGTGATTAGAAAGTTCCATTCTTCCCAAAGCTAGCAGGATCTGTTTCTGCCCGCAAACATGCAGGGCTCTGGACTGTGCTGACTTGAGAAGGTATTTCTTCTAGCCGAAGATGAGTTCACTGTAAGGGACTCGGAAACATATGGATGAAATTTCCCTGACGCCACTCCAGGGATCAGAAATTAGGGAAAGAGCGCTTAGCAAAATGCATCTGGGGTTTTGCCAGGCCGAAACCAACTGAGAAATGGTTAGGACACAAGGCAGATAGATCTCCAGTGTTGCCAAGTTCATCCATCTCTGCAACACAAGGATTTATAATTAGTGCTATTCTGAAAAGCGCGGCCTTACAAGTAGCTGAGGACAAAAAGAAAAAAAACAAGAAAGAAAAGAAAGGGGGAAAAAAAAGAGCCTTTGTTCTCAGCCTCTCAGCGAGGTTGCTGGTCCCCAATGGACTGTTACAGCCTCTCAACCTCCAAGTCACATCGTTGCTCATCTGTAACCAGAGCCTGGTGTCTTCTGGGTCCTGTTTCCAGTGAGGAGTTCCTCTGTATTCCCAGGTGAGGGGAACAAATCTCAATGGGTGTTCTTGTGCAACGACATGACTTGGCCGTCCCTTCTCCGATGTAAACTTCATCTTCCACAGCAGTCTGCTTTCCCTGGGCTTCTCTGTTAAAATCGGCCCAGTGGAAGGTGGTGGGTATGTGGGGGAGCGCAGCGAGAGAGGAGAGAGCTTTAAAATGGTGCCGGCGCTGGCACACGATGTCAGGAGTCTGGATGAAAGTTCACCTTCCGCCAACTCCGCAGCACCTGAGCTGTCTGCGACCTGTCTTCTTGCCCACTCACGAAACCAAGTTTCCCCAAAGCCGTGTACCAGCTTTTCTCTGACAGTGACCAGAGGGAGGCTAGCGCCAGGCCCTCTGCGCAGCTCCTAGCATACAGCAGTGGACAGAGCAGATACAACCCTTGCCCCCATACAGCGGGGAAGACTGGCCTGAAAGGCACCCACACGTAAATCCAAATCATGACACAAACACAAAAGGCAGGGTCCAGCGGAAGGTCGACCGGCCGGAGTTGAAGACACTGTCATGGTTTCTGGCCCAGCACTTCTCCCCGCCCCCTCCAGACGGGCTAGCCCACTGCCTCTGTAAGGAACTAAATCAATGGAGGCCTCCCTTAAACAGACCCAGTGACCTGACAGGCGGTCAGAAACCCAGCACCACGCTGGTGAGTTTCTCTGGCTGTTTCCTCAGAAGGCAGAGGAGGCTGGAGAGGAACCCCATTACACATCAGTATGGGGAGGTATACAGTTGATGGACTAAGTGGTGCCAGGAAAAGAGAAGGCCAAGCCCTGAGTCACTTCCATGTATTCAGTGGCTTGTAATTCCTTTTCCCTGTCTCACCCCGTTGAATGTGCTATTCACAGTAAATGTTAGCTCACGACTAAATGTTTGTTCGTCCTGTGCCTACTGGATCTTTCTCTTTCCATCCGTTTGTAAGGAGAAAACGTTGAAAACAAAACCGAAACACCTCATGAAGATGTTTCCATGGTTGCAGCTGTGGAGGCAGTACTGGTCCAGGGTGAACCTCGGAGAGGGAGGAGAGAGGGAGGAGAGAGGGAGGCTGTCTGTCTTGTCTACTTAGAGTTAAGACTCTTGTGGGGCACTAGATGGCAACATTTCCCTAAATCTAAACACAGCAGAGGCAGGGCCCCATGGGCAGGTCAACCCCAACAACTGCAAGTCCCAGCTCCTACATAAGGTGACACCCAAGACTGGGGGGTGACCGAAATCAGAGCTGACGGAAAGCAGAGTCTAGTGTCTCTTCATGGAGCCTTGTTAACCGTCAGCTATTAACACTTTATCACCACCATTACACCAACAACACCGCCATTGTTAACACTGTCACTGCTAGGACCACCACCACCATTATTATTACCACCATTGCCACTACAGCACCACCGTTATTACACCAACACCGCCATCAACACCCCCATTACACCAACACCGCCATCATCAACACCATCACTGCTAGGACCACCGTCACCCTGCTCCTATCACCATCGGCCTCACTATCACTATCATTGTCACTACCTGCATCTACACTATTATTGCCACTAACATCACAATCATCACCATCATTATCACCACGGCTACCAAGGCTGCCCCTACACTCACCACCATGATCACCATCATTGCCATCACTACTGCTGAGTCCCTTGTGCTCTATTGGTTTTTGATTTTATTTATTTATTCATTTATTTGCTTTTTTTAAAGCAGGGTTTTGACACAGGTCTCTGTGTATCTTTGACTGTTCTAGAACTCACTCTGTAGATCGGGCTGGCCTCAAACTCACAGAGATCTGCCTGCCTCTGCCTCCCAAGAACTAGGCTTAAAGCTCTGAGCCGCCACCACCACCCAGCTATTTTTTTAAAAGATTTATTTAGTGTGCATACAGTGTTCTGCCTGTGTTTATGCCTGTATTCCAGAAGAGGGGACCAGATCTCATTATAGACGGTCGTGAGCCACCGAACTCAAGCACCCAGTACTCCTAACTGAGCTATCTCTCCAGGGCCGTTGTTTTTTATATTCTTACAATGGAGGGGTTGAAAAGACGGCTCAGTGGTTAAGAACCCACACTGTTCTTGACCCAAGTTCAATTCCCAGCACCCCAACTGCCTGTAATTCCAGCTGCAGGTGATCTGATACCCTGTGACCTCCTCCTTCTCCTACACACACATACACACACTCATACACACACAAGCACACTCACACTCACACAAGTAACAATTAAAATAAAAAAGAAAATGGTTTTAAAATATAACAGAAACTTCATTTAGACTGGGAAGAAAGATCCAGTTATAGACAAAAGGTGAAAGGGCCTTTTAAAAAGTTCTTTTCTTTTCCAATCATAGCTAAAATTAGATTGATAAACTGCTGTCTGGTATAGAAAGTTGGGGAGCTGTTTTAATGAATAGATAAGAAGTATCTCTATTTGTATTTTCTTTTAGATGCTTAGTTGCTCCTTAAGTGATTGTCCAGTTAGGCACGCTATTGCTATGATGAAACAGCATCGCAAAAATCAAGGAAGAAAGGGTTATTTGACTTCCACCTCCAGACTGCAGTCATCATTGAAGGAAGTCAGGGCAGGAATTCAAACAGGGCAGGATCCTGGAGGCAGGAACTGATGCAGAGGCCGTGGAGGAGAGCTGTTCACTGGCTTTCTCCTTATGGCTTATTCAACCTGCCTTCTAAAGAACCCAGGATCGCCAGCCCAGGGGCGGCACCACCCACCATGGCCTGGGCCCTCCACTTCAATCACTAATTAAGAAAACGCCAGAGTTCAGTTCCTGCGAGTTTCTTCCTCCTCTCTGCAGCTGGCCTCTGGCCTCTAGCCACTTCCCTCGTGTCATGGCCCCGAAACGGCAATCTGCGCTTCTGCCTCAGTCCAAGAAACCCAAATCGGCTCCGTCCCCGAAACTGGAGGACAAGTCTGCCTCTCCCGGCCTGCCGAAGGGAGAAAAAGAACAGCAAGAAGCAATTGAACACATTGACGAAGTACAAAATGAAATAGACAGACTTAATGAACAAGCAAGTGAGGAAATACTAAAAGTAGAACAAAAATATAATAAACTCCGCCAACCGTTTTTTCAGAAGAGGTCAGAATTGATCGCTAAAATCCCAAATTTTTGGGTAACCACATTTGTCAACCATCCACAAGTGTCTGCACTGCTTGGGGAGGAAGACGAAGAGGCTCTGCATTATTTAACCAGAGTTGAAGTAACAGAATTTGAAGACATTAAATCAGGTTACAGAATAGATTTTTATTTTGATGAAAATCCCTACTTCGAAAATAAAGTTCTCTCCAAAGAATTTCATCTGAATGAGAGTGGTGACCCATCCTCAAAGTCCACTGAAATCAAATGGAAATCTGGAAAGGATTTGACAAAACGCTCGAGTCAAACACAGAATAAGGCCAGCAGGAAGAGACAACACGAAGAGCCAGAGAGCTTCTTTACCTGGTTTACTGACCACTCTGATGCAGGTGCAGATGAGTTAGGAGAAGTCATCAAAGATGACATTTGGCCAAACCCCTTGCAGTACTATTTGGTTCCTGATATGGACGATGAAGAGGGAGAGGCAGAAGATGATGACGATGATGATGAAGAAGAAGAAGGCTTGGAAGATATTGATGAAGAAGGAGATGAAGGTGAAGAAGATGAAGATGAAGATGATGATGAAGGGGAAGAAGGAGAGGAGGATGAAGGCGAGGATGACTAGCAGAGAAGACTGATGGATTCCGACTCTCTTTTTTATTTTCTTTTTATTAAATTTCTCCAGTCCCTGGGAGCAAGTTGCAGTCATTTCCCTCCCGTCCCCAATCCCTCCTGTGCTCCGTCGCCCTGTTTCTGAGGTCTCGCTTCTCAATACCATGGTTCTCAACTTATTTTTGGGGAAATGTCTTGAGCAAAATACAATGGGAAAAGAAAGAATCTCCACTACTCTGTTCTACATTAATTTTTATCTTTTCTTGTCTTGAACTGTGGATTCAACACCACCACCACCATGCTCTGTGGGGAAAAAAGAAAAGCCCTCCAGCCCCTTTGGCTCTGCTGGAGGCTGGAGGGTGCTAGGCCCCTGTGTAGTAGTGCATAGAATTCTAGCTTTTTTCCTTTCTCTGTATATTGGGCTCAGAGATTACACTGTGTCTATGTGAATACAGACAGTTAGCATTTACCAACATGTATCTGTCTACTTTCTCTTGTTTAATAAAAAGAAAAAAAAGAAAAAAAGGGGGGGTTAGAAGGTCAGCAAGGGTGGGTTTGAGGTGTCTGGGGGGGTAAGTGGGCATTGTGACAACATGGCTTCTCCTTTGGCATGTTTAATTGTGATGTTTAACAGACATCCTTGCAGTTTAAGATGACACTTTTAAAATAAAATTCTCTCCTAACGATGACTCGAGCCCTACCACTCAATGGGAGAATCAGCAGAACCTGTAGGGGTTTATTTGGAGTTCACATTCTCTGTTGTAACTTTATTTTTAATTTTTTTATTTTTAGTTTTTTGGTTTTCACTGGAAGGAAAAGATGCTCATTTTAAATGTTGAAGTGTACAAGTTGCTTTGTTACAATAAAACCAATGTGTACACAAAGGACCGGATGCTTTTCTATCAGAACAGATGTTCAACATGACCTTCCGAGTTTGACCTGCATAATGACATCATGTCAAACTTTGTCTCCCTAACTTCATATTTTTTGATACGCACTTTGCAGGATGACCTCAGGGCTATGCAGATTGAGTTAAAGGGATGTGAATCATGTCTTAATGTCTCCGTAACTGGGTGATGTGGGTACAGTTTGCTGCAATGGACTTGTACCCATGATTTTTATCTCAATTTGGCATTTTTTAAAAACGGGCCTTTAGTTACCTGGATATATGGCAGCACCTGCTCCCACCATGTCACAGACCTGTTGCTCTAATGCCATCTGTACGAAGGACAGCTGCTGGCGGGTCTTCATTGGCAATTTGAACTGACCAAGGAAATGGGCTTTCAGAGTCAGCAGTCTTTGGGGTGGTTGGGAGTGCACTGTCCCAGGTATGTAGCAAAGCTCTCAGACTCTGTGAATCTGGGTGGATAAAGAAGTTTTATCTGCTCAACGCCATTGTGCAGAGAATAATGTTTTGGAAAGCTACCTGATACATAAGCTTTTTAATGCTGTAAAATAGAGCTAAAATTAAATGCCACTTTTTCAGAGATGATTAATGGACAGCCTGGTCAAATTCAAAGCTTTTTGATGTATAAAACTATAAATGGAACTACTCCATCAGTAGGCAAAGTGTAACCAAATCTGTCTAGATGGATAGTGTGTAATTTCTGCACAGGACTCTTGTTTAGTAAATACATCACTGTATACGTCAGGAATCTTGCTCCAATAAAGGAACATAAAGATTAAAAAAAAAAAAAAAAAAAAAAAAAAAAAAAAGAAAACGCCATACAGGATTGCCTGCAGGCAGATCTTATGGAGGCATTTTCTCAGCTGAGATTCCCTATCTAAGATACTGACTACAGTCTGTGTCAAGTTGACATTAAACTAGCCAGCACACCAGTATCTGAAAAGCAGTATTCTGTGTGGATTGCAAAGCCCCTCTGGAATTATGTTTGCAGCATCCATGTAGTTAGCACGCTCTCTGCCTAGCAACCACTCTCGCTTCCTAGTCCCTGTCCCTTCAATTAATCACCTGTCACTGGATTTCAGCGTCCCTGAGGAGGTACACCAACTGACCCGTGGGGAAGAGTCAGAGCGTCACACTTGACAGAGACAACTGTTTGCTAAACCTCCCATTGAATTGAGTTGATCAATCGTTTCTAGTGGAACTGACGCCAACGGACAGCAATCAAGGTGTTTATGACGGTGACATTGGTAGGGAGGACGGTGTCGAGGGTGAGCCATGGGCCAGAAGCCGGTTGCTGGCTACCTTTCGTCGTTTGAAGTCGTGTGCTCCACAGCTGCCCTGGACAAAAAGTAGATTTCTCAACCATACTTCCCTCCGTGTATCCAACCAAACAAAGCTCGTTTCCAGCATTTCTCAGCACAGTTTTGGTCTCCAGGGATACGACAGCAGATAAGACATCTGTCCTAACGATGCTTACATCCTGGAGAATAAGGAAAGTGAAGAAAGAATCTGCTAATTCAGATTCAACAAGGACCAGTCCAAAAGTGAAGCAGGATTCAGACACAGTGAGAGGGGAATGCCGAGTGTGTGCTTGGTGTGTATGTGTTTGTCCATATGCGTGTGTACGTGTGTGTGCTTCCTTTCACTAGTTCATGCAGGCTACATGGAAGATATCTGAACGCAGAGATCTAACCGAAAAGAGGCAGTAACTCATGTAAGTGACCCTGAGCTGAGACCAGAGCACATGTCGCCATCACTGGTCTGATCAGTGACAACCAGAACCCAGGCCTCCTGCAGCCCAGCACCTACTGTCAACTGAGATGCATGCTTCGTCTGCTTACCTTCTGCCTAGTTGGCCACAGCTACACAAAGAAGATTGAGATGACAGAGTGCTATGGTTTGAACGGACATGCCCTTCCAACATTCCTGTGTTGAAATTTGAACCTCCAGGTGGCATGAAGATGTGGAAGTGCGAAAGTTGAAGGGACTCTGCCTTCATGGTCAGAATTAATGCCCGATAAAGGAGGCTTCAGGAGGCTGTCTGTGCCTTCTGTCCCTTCTGCCGCGGTAAGGAATCAGCAAGAAAGGCCACACTCTCAAAAGTAGAGTGACCCACACTAGACGCCGAAGCTGCCATGGCCTTGGTCTTGCAGTGCCCAGACAGTTGAGTTCGAAGAAAGCAGGTGCTAAGGCAGAATTTCCAGTTTAAAAATAAGTTTATCAAACCCTGTGATTGGAAGGGGAAAGAAGCATTATCAGAGACAAATGCAAATGGCATAAAGGCAGTTAATATGCATGGCCAGCTGGTTCTGCTACAAACCAGCTAAAAATAATTGCTACCCGTAGAGATGATCTGCACACATCTCTCATAGTCAATGCTTGTGTATTTTCTACCAGTGTGCCCAAAGCATTATGAGGCAAGTAACTTAATTTCTTATTGACAGAGCTTTAAAATCTATAAATTGTAGGTTATTATTGATGGTAAATAATTACTAAATTCAAATTTCCGTTAGCTAGAATAACTTAAGTTCACTGAAATTTGAGGCAAACTTAAGAGAATGAAAAGCATCAGCTCTGGGCTAAGGAAGGTGAACAAGACTACTTGTATCTGACTCCCAGGCCCTGCCAGCTCCCAGACTAGTCATGTTTGGCAAGTTATTCCGCAAAGTTACTCTGCAAATGACTTCGTGCCTCAGTTTCCCCATCAGCAAAATGGAGACTAACAGATAAAATCTCCACAACTGTCTCCTAGTGGTGTTGGGGGAAATTAAATCACGGAGTACAGTTTCGGCATCGGGAAAACATGGAGTGGATGCTGGATTTTATTCAGCACAGTTGAGACACCATTGGATCAGCGTGTACTTGGTTTTCACAGCGTGGGAGGCTATGAAAGGCATGAGTCTAATTTACAGCTTATTTATAATGAACCTTAGCCGCTTCCAAAGAAGACTGGAGTGAATGAACACAAACAGGGAAAGCCATCAGTCAGCCTTGTTTGTAGTTCTTTTGCGGTGTGCGTGTGTGTTGTGTGTGTGTGCATGTGTGCATGTGTGTATGCATGTGTGTGTATGTGTGTGTATGCATGCGTACGTGAGTGCATGTGTGTGTGTGTGTGTGTGTGTGTGTGTGTGTACTTTCTGAGACAGGGTTTCTCTGTGTAGCCCTGACTGTCCTGGAACTTGCTCTGCAGACCAGGCTGGCCTCGAACTCACAGAGATCCACCTGCTTCTGCCTCCTGAGTGCTGGGATTAAAGGTGTGCGCCACCACTGCCCGGCTGAAATGACAAGTTTTTAAAGCAGAGGCGAAAATTACGACCGATGAAAAGACCTAAGGTTTAAAAGAGGAGATCTTAACTGTTCTGGGCTCAGCAATTCTGTGTAGCATGAAACAGCTGTTCAGAACACCTGTCACCCAGGGACGTCACATGAAGGATCGCCTTCGTCCCCGCATCGGCTCTCCGGGGATGAGACCGCACTGTTTTCTCACATTCTGTTCAGATGTAGAGCCGTTAAGCAGTCTGTCCAGAGTCACAGAGCAATTGCTTGGAGGAGCAGGGTCAGGGCAGGCCTAACACCAGACACACGCTGCCTGCTCTGCCTGTGCTGTCCTTGGGCCACCTCCATCTCCTGGTCCTCTGAGCTGCCGCTTCTGCAGAGAGCAGTGAGAGAGAAGCAACAGGAGCCTTCTGGCTGTCACATCTGGAAAGGAAGGCTCGGCTCTTTGCCGGCTACTATGACGCTAATCACTTATGGAGCCATTTAAGCATGTGGGGTTTGTATCAATTTTTAACAAGCAGCAGAGACTGTAAACAATGAGTGGAGCTTAATTCAAACCCTAAGTGATGGTGTTTGACAAAGGAATGTAAATACTGTGCCTGATTCATGGCCTGTGATTGGTGGCTCGTTTGTTCATGTCTGCACTGCCATGGGCTCCATCTGGGTCCCGCTGGGCGGCTGCACAGCCCAGGGCCGGCATTCCTCCACTGATTCTTCCACTCACCAGCACGACCTATGCTCACCCTGCCTTCAAGGCGTTCAGCCAGGAGACTGAACACAAGCACTCCACAGAGAAATAAAGTGTGTGGTAAGAACCAGGGTGAAGGGTGTGTGGGCACGCTCAGGAATGGGGAGTCAAGGAAGGCCCCGTTTGAGGAGGGAATGATGGAAAGAAGTGAGGCCAAGGAAGTGTGAGTGGGAGGGGGATGGAGGAGACATCCAGATAAAGTCCAGACAGAGCCAACTGTAAGGCCTGGGCTAGAAAGATCTTGGAATTTTTTTTTCTCTTTCTCTCCTTCTCTTCTTCTTCTTCTTCTTCTTCTTCTTCTTCTTCTTCTTTTTGTTCTTGTTGTTGTTATTTTTGAGACAGGGTTTCTCTGTGTAGCCCTGACTATCCTGGAACTCACTCTGTAGACCAGGCTGGCCTCAAAGTTACGGTGATCAGCCTGTCTCTGCCTCTGCCTCTGCCTCAAGAGTGCTAGGATTAAAAGCATGCACCACCACCCTTGGCTGACCAAATTCTTGAAGGGATACAGGTCACAGGGGCAGGAGGTAGTGTCTGTGTTTGGGGTAGATACTATATGCAGACTGCGAGAAAACAATCATGGAAAAACTGGCCTGGTGTTACAAAAGAAATAACACTCGACAAGTGGTAAACAGATAAACAGAGGGGAAACACACAGATGGGAATTGAGAGGTCATCCCAAGGATGTGGAGGAAAAGGATTCCTCACACACTGTGGTAGCAATGTAAGATGGTGTTTATTGACATTGACAACATCAT